TGTATATGTCATTAAGCTAAAAACAAATAAAAATTGTGTATCTATTACAAACTGATGCTTTGTTTAACTATAAAGTCTTTATCTAAGTTTACAAGTCACTTACTTATACCCATCTTTTTTTATTTCCACATCGATTATTTTGAATATTTTCATTTCCTTTCCCATCTTGAGAAAGCATGAAAAGTTTCTTATATAGTTCTCAATTTATATGCATCTTACATGAAATGCTATTGTGATATTAAAAATATATATGTGAAATAGATCACCAAGAATCATTTCTGAGATAAGTAAATAAGTAAGAAAAAGAAATTAAGCAAAAAATAAGATGAAATCATATAGTAATGCCTAATACTTAAATATTTTGGGAGGCAAGAAAGGAAACAAAATGGTTAATGAAGTGGAGACATTGGGATGAGTTACGTTGTGAACAGAATGTTTAGTGAAATTCTATTTAGATGGAGAATATTTTCATCAAGACCTGAATTGGAAAGACAAAATTTGAGACTACAGAAATAAAGCATAATCCTGCAGATAGGCAGAGCAAGTGACTCTGTCATGACACTGAATGTAAGTTAGCAGTAACAGGAGAGTAACACCACTTGTGGCTGGAACAACTTTAAATTCAAGCTGTAGCAGATCCCAGAGAGAAAGAAAACCCAAGTCATGGTGGTTTGAATGCTTATTAATACCAGATTATTTTCTCTGAATGAGTCCTGAAAGCAGAAGTGGGTTGTTTCAATAAGAATGATGGACAATTTCATATGATTGTTCTAAACACGTGCTTTCATGTTGACCTGCAGAGAAATAACTTTGGTAGCAAGAAATGCTCTTAGATTATCACAGTAATTATTAAGACAAGGAATAATGAAGTCTTTTTTAAAAATATTTTTATTTATTATTTTCATCTGTATGTACATATGTATATTTATGTGTGAGACTCAAGCAGGTGCATGCCTGTAAGTGTACCTGTGTTGTGCAGTGCCTGAGGAGGTCAGGAAAGGGTGCCAGATCTCTTGAACCTGGAGTTACATAGTGTTGCTAGCTGCCCTGCTGGTGCTAGGCTTTGAACCCAGATCCTCTGCAGATGCAGCCAGTACCCTTAACACTGTCATCTCCCCAGCCCTGGAAGGATGAGATCTTAACAATTTGAGAGTACTGCAGGAAGTTATAGACTCCATCAGATACTTATCACACATTGAGGTTAAAAATTTTGTTAACAGATTGGTATAACTAGAAAGAGTAAATTGTGAACAAATTAAAATGTTTCAGCTAATGTAACTGGAAGGGCCGAAATGTGTTTTGTCTGGTTGGAGTAATACATGGGAAAGGCTAGTTGAATGGGAAATCAAGATTTTAGTAGGGAAATTTTAAATTGTGTAAGCTACTGGAGGCCAATATGGAATTCAAGGTAGGAGTCAATGCTGGAATTATTAAATTTGAATGTAACAGGCATTGGGGAGGTATTTAAAAGCTGTTTTTATTGAACTCCTTGAAAGAGTATGTGGACAGACAAAAATACATTAGGAGACCTAGAACAGCTGGAAAAGATGTGAAAAGCTTGAAGATAATTTTTTTGTAGAAAAAAGAAAAAGCCCTCAGGCAGGCAAGCTGTAAACCTCAGCAGCTGTCTGCAGGAGAAAGGAGGGGAGAAGGAAAAAGCCATGTTCTTTTATGCCTGCAAGGAAGTCAGACACAAGGTGGAAAAGCAGTCACATGGTAGACAGAGACACTTTAAAGGAAAGGTAAGGAAAATCCAAAATGTTGGGAACCCGAACGTGTTAGGGAAAGTGTGTTTAGAAAAGACATTCTAAAAGGGAAAGGTTACACTTTTCTAAGTCAGAAAATCAGGCAGACTCCAGAAGCTGCATGTCTGCTGCTGGGTAGGGATGTGAATTGTGAGCAGGAAAACACAATGGTCTCCTTAAAGGACCTATAATTCCATGTATCTCTATAGCATACCTGTGTCAGCCTGCCCCCCCCTGGGTCCCTCAGTGACACCAGGCTAGCCTCATCTAGCCTCCCTGCCTCTGTTACTAGAAATTTTGTTATCTGGGTTACCAGGTGATACAGGGAGAAAATGGGGCCCCTTCTGTGGGTTCTTAGTCTCACTAATAAAATAATTTAAGAATTGACTCAGATAAACTCTCAAGAACAATTCTATTAGTATTTAATGAAAAACTCCAAGGGCAAGCAAGCTTTAAGTTCCAGCACTTTCCCAGAAGAGAAGAAGGGATAAGAGAAGAAAAATCCATGCAGTGTGAACTGTCAGGGAAGTCAGACACTTAGTGGAATTGAAGCCACTGGACAGGAAGAATAATGTTAGAGAAGGAAATATAAAATGTCAAGAAGCCTAAGTGTTAGGGAAATAATTATTAGAAATAAGATAGAAAGAAGAAGGAAAAGTTATGCCTTTTGAAGTATTTAGAAAACCCAGCAGACTTACAAAGCTACATTCCTGAAGCCAAGTGAGACACTGTGCTAAAAACAGCGATTCTGGACAGGAAAATTACATTATCTCATTAAAGAACAAAGCATTCTGCCTTTCTCTTTAACATGGATTAAGGTGAACCTGCCTTCCAAATTTGGTCCCTTAGACAGGTGATTATCTCTGTCTGGATGGAATGTTAGGTCTCTCCCCAAGCCAGAAATTACATTATCTTGATCAGAAGTTTTCTCTTAATAGGCCTTTATTGCTACTGTATTAGTAGCCCTAGATTTCCTCCTTACTCATAGGTTTATACTATTCACTCACTGGTTTTTGATTTGAGAAATTTCATCCAGCATATCTTCATGTGAAAGCTCTAGTTTCCAGTTTTGCTTGCATGATGAGCTTTATGAGTCCTTAATCTGTCATGCTTTTGTTCTACTTTGGATATGTATATGGATTCATCTAAGCCTTGTGAATTGCCTTTTGCTGTTGCTTTTCTTTTCTTTGTCATCATGGATATAAAAATCCAAACAAAATGAAAATCTAAATTTCTCCATGTGTTCAATGAATTTTCAAATCAGAAGTAAACAATTTTGTGTATTTGAAAGCTGAAGCAATGATTTCAATTTTATATATATATATATTTTAAAATAAAATATCACTTTATTTTTCTATTACCTTCATCTAGTTTTCATCAGCCTGTATTGACAATCACTATTATTGATCTCATGGGTATACTTTCAGATTTAATATTATATATATACAAGCAGATAGAAATATATATACACCCCCTTTTGACATCTTTTCACTCACAAACACTAGGCAAGGACTCTATCAATGAGATGCCCTTTTTAAATTTAAATTTTCAAGTAATATATTTTTTAAAGAAGAATGATATGATGGTGAAGATATATTTCATTATTTTATACTACTAGAGTATTCATCCATAGATTTTTTAATTATAAAACTATTTAAAAACTCAATTAAAATATGAATAGTGATAAATAAGTTGGTCAATTTGTAACAGAATTCAAATACCTTGATTTGTCCAAGGTGTAAAATTTCATATCAGTATTTTTATACCTTATTTTAGATTTACAAAGAATGCAATTTACCTATATAGTAATTTAAATAAAATCTGTGTTCATATTATTTGAAAAAAGTTAGTGGGCCTTTGTTTTTTTAATTATCTCTAAGAATGAAAAAATATTAATAATGAAATGCCAATATCTATATTGGTAGAATGGCTCAATGAGAAACTCAAATATCAGTGTTCAGTGCAACGCGTTATAAAACTACTGAGAAGGAAATTACCTTTAATGTCAATGACATTGAGTTCCCTTGTGCTCTGCTATAATTTGAAATGTAAACTCTAAAATAAAATACATTTTATAATTTACATATGCATATAATGTGCTTCAAATGCTGAAATAATTTTCTCTGATTCACATAGATAAATCAGTTGGGAAAAATTATAATTTTTATTCATCTGTGAGAACTAATCATACTATGCTGATCATTAAGATTACCTCACATTACATTATTCACATAATTTCAAATGATGTTATTGATGGGACACTGGTCCGAAGGACATACAGGGTTTTCAAGAATTCTGAAAAAAATATTACTTTAGTGACATCACAAGGATGCCATGTACCGATAGGAAAAGTGTGCAGACCAGCCAGCTCTATCTCCATCTAGAATCACACACCATGTTATATCACCTCTCATTGAAACTCACATTTCACAATTTCAGTTTTCACTATTTTAGCCTTTTACATCTAAAAGTTTTGAATACCTACTAGTTTCTCACTGAAATCATGAGCACAGCTTCCTGATCTGGCTCCCTTTCTTCATGTCAGTTAATAGGACCTTCTGAAGGCAATTTCTATGAAGCAATTCTTCGCTAGGCATCGTAGAATTCCTAGTAAAAACAATTGTGATAGTTGTGCCAACATAGAAATGTTTTAGAATAGAATCCAGAAATTCAAGATGTCTTCCTAGAATACTCATGAGGTGCACAGGACTCATTTGTGAAAAATAAGGTTTTTTAAAATTTTATTGCAGAATCCAGTTCATCTAACACCTAATACTAAGTACAGTAAATACCATTTACATTAAATGTTTTATCTGCTTCGAATATACACTTCAGATATTAAATATCCATTCAATACTGTTCAACTTTGGAAATCTGTTTTCTCTCTACTCCACTAGAATTTCACCAGCAATGGCAGACTTTTGATGCTTTCAACATCATTTCAACAGGATTTATGTGTTATTGACATGCTCTCAGCACTAGTGAAATGTGTATTGCAAGGCTACAGTTCAGATGTTATAGTTTTAGAATTTAATATTTTCCAAGTACATATTTTATGCAAAAATTTAAATGTTTTAAAAATTAATATAAAGAATAACTTGAAATATAGAGATAAAAATCAAAGGAGTACTAATTG